CGCTTGGCACAAATGAGTGTACGTTTTACGCTAATGAACAGCAAAAGGTGTAGTATCAGTATCAGTTCAGTATCAGTATCAGGCAGTAGTAAATAGATTGCTCAAAATAAATGTTTGAAAGCAAGATTGCCGGAGCAACCTTTTGATAGAGCTCACAGGAAGGAACAGCGTTTCTCGGCCTACGTACTCCTACTTATATTCTAAAGCATTGGAATCTGGAGACGCTTTGATTTTGTGCGCTAGAAAAGGTCAATAAATTGATAGTGTCATGGGATTATTGACAGCTGAAAGTAACAAAAAAAAAAAACAAACAAACAAACACACAAACACACAAACACACAAAAAACAAAAACTAAGAAAAAACACGCACATACACACATGCGAAGAAGAATTTTGAAATGTCGTGCTGGTCATAACGTACGACGAACTGTGAAATTTATTGCTTCCCGTTCCYTTTTCGTGGACACACGAAGTTCTTTTGTACTGACATCAAAAAATGCTTAGCAAAAAATATTACCATGAAGGGAACAATTTCAGATCGCAACTAGCGATATTCGCAACATCAATTTTTTGAATCACGATAGATTCGACCCCAGTCCCTCCCGGTTTTGACGCACGAATTGCCAGACTAGACGCTATGCCTCCGAARTGATAAACTATTTTGTTTGTCGCTATTTTCTAATTATATTTGCATTGATTGACTAACTTTTTTTGATTTTTCTATTTTACTAATAGTGATATTATAAACAAGCAGTCGAAACATATTCCAAGTTTTCTAATGTAAAGTGATCATACTGGTACATGGACTGTATGAATTCCATTTTCCCAGCTCAAATGCTGTACAACGACTCCAAGTTCTTCTCATTAAGCTTCAGCTGCAGGATATATCTTGCTCACTGTTATTTATAATAGCTCAACTGACTCCCGRCGCAAAACATATGAACTTTTTAATTACATTATAATTACCCCCTGGTCATGTGCTAGACAAGCAATATTGTTAGAGATGGTCATTATACATATGTTTTTCAGTATAAGTATTGTAAATAACACGTAAAAAAGTTATATTAGTTTTACRGGAATGCGGTCTAGATACTTTGTAGATATACATGCATTAAACAGACAAGCTTTTACCGCAATAAAATCTCAAGATATATGTGTCTAGGTGTTTTAGCTCAATCAACCCCAAGACCAAATAAGGAATAAAACAGGCAGCTGAAAAATGTACAGCCGTTATTTTTTCAAAATGCTAAAAGCAAAACTGACGCTTATTACCGACATTAAATAAAACAGACGTCTGTTTTCTGATTACAGCTTTATGATTAGGAAGCGTTTCACAGCTGTTCTCTAAAATTGCGATTTTACCCGCCAAATGGTTAATTAACACGCATAGTTAAGTCTGATTAAGTCTCTCTTTGCTCAAAGTTTAATAAATACAGTAAGGCAAATATACTATGTGCCGTATTGTATAAAGATCGATTACATAAATCGAAGGGATTATGGTAATATTAATTTTAGACGCTATTTGACCCGATATTCCAGTGTCTTCTTGGAGCGTATCATATGCCCACGCGAAAACCGTTTGTAGCCAACCAATCAGAAACAATTATCCTTTGGCGCCAAATTTCATTCACTTRTACTGAAGCCTTCAAATATCAAGCCAGGCACGCAGCAAGTTCAGTGTTCGTTGGCCCTCGTAAAGATAGAGAAGGAAAGCAAAGGCGTCATACAAGCAATTTCATGATGTACTTCAGAGTGACTCTATACCTTTGCCTGCTATTTGCAGGAATATCAATTGGTGAGTTTGTAGGATATATTGTACGAGATTTATAACAAATTAACACAATATTGAATTATCCTTGATTGTTTTCGAAAGCAGCTTGAAAAAACATTTCAATTACAAAATAAATCAGCGTTTTTTCAGTTTGTTGAGTAGCTTTATTTGAATTCTGTTTTTAGAGGTGTTCATATATAATTGCATAAAAATTATAAAAAATTATTTTTACGGCATTTTAGTTAAGACACTTCGCTCGGTGATATAATAATTGACTGCCTTTTAAAATTTATTGTTACTGAGCAATTCAAATATTGCCCTCTTACATAAATACGAAGAAATCATGTTTATTTGACTTCCGAGTAGCACTGTATCAAGGCATAGGTTATTTCTTATTCTTGTCAAACATTACAAAAGGTCACTAACGAACAGCACTGAAACTATCGAAGATTTAAAAATTCAAACGCCTTCTGCAACATCAGTGTTTGGAAAGTAACAATTCTGTAAAGAGTGTGCGGCGAGGAAAAAAGCAGTCAAAGTWGCAAGCTAGTCAGTTATATATCGTGCCATTACGGACATTACGCCACTCCATAATTGCCAAAAACCGTTAAACCATAGAAGTTCCTCTTGGGTGCTCTAGTATAATGTATCACGGTCAATTTTCAAATCTCTTGTCACGCAAAATTGTCCTAAAGGTCTAAAAAGGTCACAAATTCACGGTGAAAAAACACCAACCGACGACGCAAATAAGCCATGATCCTCAAGCTCGGAAAATGAACCACCAATTTATGCCCTTTTTGTAGCGCTTGTGTCTCTTTCATTGAATTTTGATACAAGTTTCATGTACAAATACACAAACTTGTACATGACTGTTCGTTTAATTTTTTTGTACTTTTTAGTGTTATTGGTCTGATCAAGTTTAATGGCAAAACTAAAGCGATTTATTTGCATGAGTTGGGAAAATATCGGCGTATTCCGTGACGCTTGACAAATATTTGATTAAGAACTACTTATTMATCAGAATCGAATTTCAATGTCTGTTCTGCTCCAGCAAGTTTTAAGCAAACTTCAAACATTCTTTTTCATGTTTCATCACGAACTGGCTGCGTTCTCCTAGGGGGGAGGGGGAAGAACGCAACCTTTGCTAAACGGGTAGGTCTGGGGGAGGTTATCCTTTTTTGAAATTTTCATTATAAGGAATGAACTTTTGCCTTTGAAAGGGTCAGGGTTTTGAGATCCTGACAGCTCATTCTCGCCCACGTTTGTTGAGTGGTGACATATCCGGGAAATCGTTCGAAGAGCTCTCATTGTTGACATCGCATACACCTATTTCAAAGAACGTTGTCGGGGAGAACGGCGACTGTCGAAGGGAGATTGTATGACCGAAAGGGACTATGGTTAGACTGTTTTGACAAAACAAAATTTGACTTATTGGATTCACCTTGCATAGAAAGTGAAGACTAAATGTAATGGAGCCAATGTTTCACACCGACTATCTAACAATATAAATCATTTGTTATTCAGTGTTATTTCTCATCAATTAGCAAAAACTATGGCTACTTTCGGTCGTGCATATGCCGTTCGACAACTGACATTTGACATTTTACCCGACAACCTTTTTTGAAATAGGTATACATGAATCCAATTCACTTTTATGTTGCTATTGTTTCTTTTTTTTTTTTAGTTCTTGGTCAGATGTTTCTTCATCGTGCACACGATAAAGTTCCGTGTAAGGATAAATCGAGTCTTTGCGAGCATTATCCAAAGGAAAAACACTGTGTAGAGAAGTCGTCTTTATTTCGTTTCATGCAGAAAAACTGTGCAAATTATTGTGGTATTTGTAGTAAGTATTTCATTTCACATTCAAACTATAAGAAATTTAGCAATTATAAACAATAGCTTCAAGCGGTTTACTGGCGAAATAAACCGTGCGGGATAGCTGGGAGAACACGAGAAAAGATCTGCAAATCACGAGCCGTCAGGCGAGTGATATGCCTTTTTGAGTGTTTGTGCTTTTCATGAATTTCACCAATCAGCGCGTGTGTTAGAATTGAGCTATAATATAAATGCTCCGTGGATCGAAGCAAACTAGTAGAGAGTCACATGTTAGTGACGTCAAAGTTGTTGAAATGGCATCCATGCAAATATCCCCCAAAATGCTAGAACCCTAGCTGCGATCCTGCTTTACCCAGCAGCTATGTCACTAGAATTTGGGGAAATTCAAAAAATGTCGACAAGGTGGCGGTCGAAAGTTTCTAAACACTTGGTGATTCGTTTCAAACAGATTGCCGCAACTGGATTCACGGGTGCTGTAAAGACAGAAAAACACGTGCAGACGGTCCAAACGAAGGCGGATGTTCTCGTGAGTTAAACTCGTCAAATATATAGATTCTGTCGATGATACTGTTTTGCTTTTGACTCAATGATGACAAAGTAGAATTAAGAATGTGAGGTGGTATTAGACAGTGATGCAAGTCGTACTAAATTTTCCATATTCCAGAAAAGCTTTGCTACGACGTCAAGCCAGACACGTGCAAGGAGTTCAGAAGAGACGGAAAGTGCAGCACCGATAAGGAAACGGCAACCAAGATATGTCCCTGGGCCTGTAATGAGTGCCGCAGTAAGTTTGTAAAAAGAGCGCATTAGTAAATCCCTCGTCGCCTTGTTTTTATGCTATGACACCTACTAAGATTCCCGGCAAGTTTCAAAATTACTGAAACGAAAACAGATCATTATTTAGTTGCTAAACAATTTCTTTTGATACAGGGAAAAGTCTTGCGCCAATCAAATCATGTTACGACATTGGATACGGCTGCTGTTGGGATGGTAGCACTGCTTTAGGTCSCAATAAGAGAGGCTGTCCACGTAAGTAAAAAAAATAGTGGGGTCTTGATATATCCAAGCTTGTCGCACCGCTCGGTCACAGTCCTACGCGATTAGATCGAAAAGGATTTTGGATGCAAACTATTTTTGTTGGGGTATGACTACAATACATTGCATTTGTCGTAGTTTCAATGGTAGTAAGGGGGAGGGGGCGGGCGGAAGAAAGTTTGAAAAACATTGAACGATAACAAATCGTCAACTAGCAATTATCTATAATTTTTAAAGATCGATCGATATAACATAATTGATGACATATCTTGTTGTCGTGGTAGCATGCCGAGATTTTTACGGCGGTCACGTCTGCAGACAATTCAGGGTTCGTCCAACATGCTACTACACAGGAGCGTTTTTCCGAAGGACATTCCTGATAAACTACTGCCCCAGGACTTGTGGAATTTGTAGTAAGTACACTCCGCATGCTAAACTTATTCCTTTATGCTCTTGGGTTTTCTGTGTGATTGAACTGAAAGATGGGACGAGAAGAATCTAAACTTGTTCCAAGTCTAGCAGCCACTCTCTGTCATATACGACAAGGACCATATATGGATGARTATATAAACGGCTCGGACGTACATATAGAAGRCTCTCATTGGTTGTTCTCAGAGCTTAAAATGCATAACGTTGGGTTTGAATCTTCATATTTAAGTTTAAGTCTTTTAAAATGATCGCCACATGACGTGCTCATGCGCACAACAGCAACATGTACATTTTCAACCCATGGAAGTCGTACGAAAGATCTTTCTCATTTGAATCATAATGGACTTCAAACGACAGAAATTTGGAGCACGGAGGATGATAACTCAAGGCTCTCTTTACTTTCTTTCTTTTATAGGAGGTTGGGCTGAAAATTATGTTTGTTTATTTTTTACGTTTGAGTCTCAACATGAGTACGAGTGAAACAAACACWAAAATTATGCAACACAAATACYACTATACTGTTAAATTATGCTAATTCTATTGTTGTTTTCAATTATTTAATTTGCACTATTTTGTAGTAAGTAGTGCAAAGCGTTGCATGCTTTTAATGTTTGTCTGTACAAACTAAATAGTTCTATTTAGTTGTATTTAGTAAATCGTGCATGCGGTACGCAAATTAAATTGAATTGATACAAATGAAGCATTCATTACCGTCTTGCTTCAGGTCCACTTTCAGTACAAATTAGTACTACTTAGATTTTGTACAGTTGCACGGATTAAGTGCGTTCAATCTATCATTCGGWCCAGTAATTAATTATGATAACCAACGTTTGTTTATTTCTACAGGAGTTAATCAGCTCCCCTGATTGGAAGAAACGTATCCCCGAGAGCACTATGGCAAAACTGCAAAGCAACCCAACATTAATACAAAATACTATGTAATGGTACTCCATTGAATTAGAACCYTCTCCAWRGCTTGCTATTGTGGATTTKTAAGATTTAGTTTTTCGCTAACATAATGAGCAGACTCTCGAACAAGTGTATTTTGAATACGCTTTGACCAGATTAGACATTAGTTTGTAAAAATACTGTCTAAACTCTTAGAGGGGGAAAATAAAAAAATCAAAATAAATATTATAGAAGCATGAATAGCTATTATTATCAACACAAAAACAACAGTAATTCAGTTGTTTGTCATAAATATTAATCGTATTTGTTTTTATTTGTAAGCTAAGTATTTACAATTTACAAGAGTACCATATTTGTGTTCAGTTTGTATTTTAAGAAACAAAGCTACTTATAACAATAAAAATGTACCTAAATGTCTCRTGGCTATTAAATYTAATTCATTATTTSTCTATTGAGTYTGGATTAACGCCCAATTCCYCAATTTTTTCAACAAAAATTGATATTAAGGTTTGAAGTCTGATATCGTTCTCGAGAAGTAAAACTAAGTAATTCTGGACCTGGTCTTCATGCCTGATTCATCTATGTTCGAAACCATTTGACAAATTGCGCACGGTTTTGAGTTGTATGTCCTTGCGCCGTCAATTGTGTCAACAAGAGGACGTACAACGAAAAGACCATGTACAATTTTAATTCTGAAAATTAGCGAAAAACATCAACTGAGCGCGAAATGCGAGAAGTGCAAGACTCCACACAAGTGTGTTAGAAAGGCTTTTTTAGCAGCTTGCCTAGAACTATTGTAGCGCCAAATGAGATTTCGTTCACAACTCAGTCGCAATTTTTTGAGAAATGTTTCTGCAAGCTCTACCATATAAAGTTTTGAGGTAGCTCCTGTATGCCAAGTTGACCGATTATGTCTTTATATTTAAACACCTTGACTAAGAAACTTAGGACTTTTTCGTTTTTCATTTACTCCCCMTGACCAAAACTGTAAGCTGTAGAAACCTAATTCCACTAGTCAATTGTTTTGACCAAAGACTGCATTTGCCCGTCCCCCCTCTAATAATTCTGATTTCAACCTTGTTCCCAGTACCTTGTGGTTAGCAAAGGAATAAGGGCCTGGGAACGCGGTTGCTCTGATTTTCTTAAGGAGCGATAACGCTATCAATGTTGGTTATGGACGTCCATCATATGTTGAGCAAATCTGAAACAGAAATATGAACAGAGGATAAAAAGTGCCTTAATATATTTGACCACAGACAATTGTCGTGTTGGGAACATTAGTCSAGACTTTATTAAATTTAATTTGAATTKAATATCTACAAACTTGATGTTGAATATTTTTGTACAAAATTGAAATACCCTACGTAGCCATGCGTTCCTAGCCGCACCGGCAGAGCTTGGGCCGGAGATACGAACAGGCGAGCGCCCTTCCCTTCTGGGTTTCTCAGGCCCAAACTCTCTCAGAGCGGTTGAAATAAATAAATAAATTGAAATCGTGTTTTCATAAATGGCAAATGATTTTACTAATGACTAGCGACCTTTTCAATTATTAGACAATSTTTTCGGACATAAACGKTTTGAAAAAAGCGCAAGAGTCAGCAAGAAAATAAGTAGTTTAAKCTCACCTTTTTGCACATTCTGAAGCTGTATCTCTTCTGCATGACTCGGTGTGKGCCATCTTGTACAATACCTGCAACGATTTTAAATGAGAAATCAGAGTTTAATCGAATGTAGTAGTATGACAAAATGGATGGCAAGAAGCATCGAATGAAGTAAGCAAACAAAAGTACAAAATGAAAAAAAAAAAAGAAAAAGGAGAAGAAAGAACAAGAAACAAACCATGATACCAAAACTCACTCACCAAGAAAACCAAAAGATGAAGAATTAGCAARTAGAAGAACGTTATTGTACGTGCCATTTTGTTACCAAGAAGAAAACGTCCCTGTAAAAACAAATACATTATTCAATTAGTAATATTATTTCGGTTGCTCGAAGAGRATATAATCCATTCGCCCGGACAATGACATGAACWTTTCAATATTGTAGTTGTCGTTGGACTATACCATGTTCAAAGTAACTTTCTCGTGTGGACTAAGTCCCATGTATCTTTGCTGTCTTTCCTAGCAAAATAAAGAAATAAAGCAAAGATCGTATGAGTCGTATTTCAGTGTTGARAAAGAAACAACAATCAATGAAAAGCTCCTTACTCGTTGATTAAACGCGGCAAATGGATCAAGACGCTGTTCGTAATGTGATGAATATCGACTGACCGCCAAATCATCGTCTCTACCTGAAGATGATCCCTATACACAAAAACATGAACTACTAAATAACAAAATGAATAAAACCATTCACAAAGRTGGAAGCTTTTGAGGGGCGGATCCAGGGATTTCCTCAGGGAGGGGTGCGGGGCTCTCAGGAGTGGGGTGCACCCCACATAAAACAATCATTACCATGAAGACACAAAATAAGGAAAGTATTGAAGGATACAGATATCAGGGGGGGTACGCACCCCCTGCACCCACCAGCTGGATCCGCCCATGACTTAATAATGCCGACATGCAATCCAAAAAATAAATAAATTCTGGACAACAAATTCACAATTTTGCGAAGCCGGCTTAGTTAACTTCACTACTATACTACGTCCTGACWGTAAAAATGCTAAACAGAAAACAGAAGAATCCATAATAGTTATAATAATATTTGATTTTTTTGTTTTTTCACTTTACATGYAATTTCGCCGATGAGTAAGATTTTTGGGAAAAAACTAACCTTTGATGGATAACTCTGTAAAAACTTGATTTTCTCGTACAATTTCACGTTATCTGATCGTAACTTATCCACTTCATCTTGTATTGTGCTTATTTGTTGCTGCTGGTGRCGAGTAAGCTRTGKRGAAGCGAAAACAACAAACATTTATTGCTTAATTAGTTGTAATAACATTAAATCTAAAAACAAGAAATGTGTATAACAAGGCGTGACTATTCAACCTAGTATCGAACSTAGTACCCAGGAACCTACCCCTTCGTTTGGGGTCAACTAAGGTAAGCCTGGGGACGAGGTGGAAAAGGTGGAAAGCTAAACATCAGCTCAACAACCATTACCTATTTTGGTCACTCGATTCTATGTTAGCAATCTACAATCTATGTTATCAGATACAATACTCCAGTTTCGAATTCAAAGCGAATAACCGCTGTTTTACTTGACAGTAGATTCTCTTACGCAAAGAACTTACCATACACAAAAGAAATCACGAGAAAATGTTGCTTGTACAATAGCGCTAACAATTTACATTTTCTCCGAGTTGAGGCTAACCCTGTATTCCCAGAAGGCTCATACCTTAGGTCTCATGGGAGATTAGTCTCAACTCGGTGAAAATGCAAATTTTCAAGGCTATTGTAATAACGACATTTTCTAGTGCCTCTCTTTTGTGTTTGTAAGGTCTTTGCGCAAGAGAATCTGTTATCAAATAAAGCAGCGGTTTTGCGCTATGAATTCAAAACTGGAGTATTATCTTCTCGTTTTCGCTATTTTTCAGTCCGTCATGTGTGCATATACAACGTGTGTAGTCTACTTACGGCTTCTAGTTCTAAATTACGAAGTTTAAATCTTTCTCTTTGACTTGATATAATGGGTAATAGTGAACTGGCTGCAGAGGGGTCTGTKGTGGTCTCGCCTGGAATTACGGTACATGTACACTGACTTAGTATAATCAGTGAAAACATTTATAACAAAAAATAGACATACTTTCTGTACCCTTTCCAGAAAAATGGAATAAAAAAGTACTCACTGACTGGAGACAAAGTCTGTTGTACAGCTGTTGCCACTAGTTCTGTCTCTGACGGTGGTACTGCCTCCCCCTGAAAAGACGTTTTAACGATTATTTAATAATAAAATAATGATTATCACAAGAAACAAACATGCTCTGGAAAAAAGGACAGCACAAAGTCATCCAACATTTTTTTTACATGATTAATGTCTTGTGCATATATTTTCAATTACAAATTAAGAACATGTTTTTTTGACAACTGAAGCCTACCTCCCCCTGGCCTCGGTATGATGAAGGCAAAGCATTAACACTAAGTAAATCACATTCAAGTTGTGTAATAAGTTCTTTCTGGTCAGTGATGGTATGAACAGCTTCCTTATACTGTTTGTTAAGTTCTTGGTATCTTGCTATTCATGACAAAGAGAATAGTACATTTCAATTTAATTGTTGCTTGGCAACCACACACATCAAATTGTATCAGTACAKGTTTTCATTTGAGACATACTTGCTAGTTCAGATTTTTCCACCTTTAAATTTGTATTTTCAGACTGTAGACCTAAACAAAATACACATTTTTAATGATAATATATATAGTAATCAATATTTAGCTGCTATAAATGAATTGCAGACCCAAGTTTCTTTGTTGTATAGCTGTGAAATAAACTTTATACTAYAATGACATTTTGCAATTACAAATAAACGCCAATAATAGCTTCAATAAAATAATCATTATTTGAAACATACGTTTGTTTTTGTCAATGAAAAGCTTTTCAAGAGATTTTGGTGTGGTCTCTTTGTCTTCCTGGTCTTCCAAAGATGAAGAAAACTCAATCATCTTCAGAACACTAATAAAAGCAAGAAAATGTCATTCAGAACTTACATCTAGAAACAAACAAAATCATTGACAAGCTTGATTGACCTTGTCAGTTCTTTATAAAGTGTATGCAAAAAATAAGTTACCTCAGTTCTCTTTTGACTTCCTCATAATCTTCTTGATGAGAAAGTCTTTCTTCCTGCAAATAAATGAAAGGACATTAGTAAGTGATAAGAGACATCATTCTTTGTGGGTATTAAAGACATTAGRGGCAATTCTAGTCATAAATAATTGTAAAAATAATAGTGAAGTGTAACAAGAAAGATCAAGCAAAGTATTTCACTTCTAATCGGATCTTAATGTTTCAGGCAAGGTAATGTGGTCTTACCAAAGATTTTATATGAGCAGATTTGGCTGTAACTTGTTCTTCAAGTCTGTTCACCTAATCAAATGTGAATACAAAATCCCATTGTCAGAAATTCCTGCCCGTCTGGTACTGTCAGTGCATTAATTCAACTGCACTTGTTTTTAAAACATTCTTTGAAATAAACTTAGCTGTGCACATGTTGTCATCAGGTAAATAACATTTGTTTGTTTGTTTGATTTCCTTATCACAATGAGTATTAATTAGATGAATTGATTAAACAGCCAGGCACACATAATCAATAATTATACTTGACTGTTATTTTGTATTACATCTTAGCTGGATGTCCACAAAACAGAGCTAATCTAGTTTTTATACACCTAATACTTTTTATGGMGAACTCAAATCTAACCAGTTTTCAGAATGCTTTSGGACGAGTAAACTGGCATGTTGACATACTTTGTCCAAAACTGARCACTTTGACAAACCTGMAGGGTATAGCTGTCCTTCATTCTTGTTATTGTTGACTGCATATGCTGGATATCAGTCACTAACTGAGAAATCTGTCAAGCAAAGGATTGTGATATACAACCTCATGAGAAGCAGAAAAATCCAAGAACATATAATCAAGCTAAGTGTAAAAATTAAATTTTGAAACACATATTATATTATCATTGCGACAGCTAAATTCAAAATTATGAAACTTTTAAGTGACTGATGAAAGTCTCATTACTTGTCATGTCTCATTCATAAATATAATTGTAGTTACAAGACAAGTCTGATGAAATTGGACAGAACAGTGTAAATAGAAACAAGGAAACAATATAATGTATTTTCTACAGACCTGTCTTTCTTTAGCAGTCAGCTCATGCTCWAGGGCTGATCTAGAGATGGTTTCCATGGTAGCATCCTGTGACAAATAAATTTCGTGCTTAAAATTGAGCAAATTRAATACTATGSTGRTGTGCATGTTGGCAAAGYTGGAAAAGTCTCATAAATCAGAYATACCATGTCTGGTCTTTTCTGGTCACTCACATCCTGAAAGACAATAAAASCATCCATTAAAGTTGGAAARCAATTTAGTTTCCCCAAATAACCAATTGAGGCTCATTAAACCAACCTCATRTGAGAAGACAYACACTTACCTGTATTTGAAAGTGTGCCTTTGCAAGCTCTTCCTTTAAAGACTCAACTTGTTTCTCAGCAGAAAGAGCCCTCTAAAATATACAATTTCAATAAGTATTAAGTTATAATCTAAACTGTTACTACATGTAGAAAAGGTGCTGCACATATACATGTACACTTGACTGAAATTATATTGTGGGTAAGCTGAGATTAGCACTAAATCTAATCCTGGGTTAAGTTGTTTATCRTAAACAGGCTACAGCCCGGCCCTGAACGATACAATTTACATGTGCATGGGGTATATATCACGAAGTTAAGAAGAGAACATCCAATAATGATAATTATACTCTTGAAGCTTTTTATCATTGGAGCCTCAATACACTCTACACTAAAAGCATTAAATATTATAATCATGATTCAAATAGCTGTCAGTCAGAAGTTGAAAGCCGTCTTTCTCTGCTCTATAAGCTCATTCTTTCAATGATTATATCAATGGAAAACGTRATGGAAACCTGTTTCTTATAGTAATAAACAATATGTACCTGATTAGCTCTATCAACATCTAATTCCAAGATTTCAATCTCTGATGACCTTGATAAAATAGATATGAATTTTTAGCACAGAGCAATATTAAATAAAGAGATGTCAGAAAGGACAACAACTGGTAATTGCTTAAGAGAGATTGCATGACTGAAATGAAGCTCCTGTACAGTATATTATCTAATCAATCCAAGGCTATAGATATACATCTATAGTAAGTTGAAGTATTGTATTTTTCAGTAAAAACAAAGCTTGATTTAATTGCTTGTACAGCAAACTATTACCACATATAACATACATGCAATCAAATTTACAATTACTGTTGTCTTTGAACACCTTTTTGAAATACATGTACTAAGTGCAATGGCATTCAAGGTTTTAGTAAATTTATATCTGTTAGCATTCTTTACCTTGCTGCTGTCATTTCATCATATTTACTTTTAACATCAAATAGTTCTGTCTGTGTGCTATCAAGTGCTATAAAAGAAAAGATGCACGTAATATAACCACCTTCCCAGGTACATTACAGCTTAATAACAACAAACAACAAAGTTTGCTAACCAGCTTGTAGAGTAACTGTCTTGTGCTCTGCTTCACCAAGTTTTCTTGCAACAGAAACTTGGGTTTCTCTAAGTTGYTTTTCTTTCTCAACAAACTCCCTTTGTAGCTCTTTCTCTCTGTCCTTKACTTTTGACTGAAATATTTTGAAAAAAAAAATGATAAAGGAGTTTCTTTTTGTTGTTGTTGTTGTTGTTTGCTCATTTATCTTTTTAGGATGCAAATAGCTCCTCACCTTCGACAGAAATCATTAAGSAACTGAAAAAACAATCAATTCAGGAAAAATAATGTGTGTGTAATACAAGTATACCTGTACTCGTTCCTCTAGTTTGTCATCATATTCTTTTATCTTTTCTTTTAATTTGTTGATCGTCACATCTRAAAAATACAACACCATCAACATCACTTTYCTAGTCTGTTCAACATGGCTATTGTTCACTACTGACCTTGRTTTTTTACTTCTGCAAATTCTGTATTGTATTCATCCAAAGTTTCTCTCAATTTTTTGTTTTCTATTTCATAGTCCTAATAATACATGCAAGTACATTACTTGTGCACAATCAGTGTGCTTTAAAATAAATGATATTTTGTATCTATTTTGATATTGTTTGGACAATGAAGTGTATAAACAACTGTGTTTCATCGTACGTAGTTTACATAGTATGTACCTGTATTTTARAAGCCTTTTGCTGGTGGATTTGTGCTTGTTCAAGAACAGGCAAAGGATCTGAGCAAGATATCCTCATTAATACATGTTAAGATGCAGTTATCAATCTATTTTTAAAATATATGTACACTCATTATTGTTATAATACACCTGTAGATATATTTTTACTTTTACATACACCTACTTGCGAAAACGTTGTCATAAAAAAATAGGACATTTGTATTTTAGTAAAAAGGAATAAATTAAAAAGACAAAAGAAGATCACTGAGGCTGAACGCTTTCTTTTGTCTTGTTTTAATTTATTCCTTTTCACTAAATTCAAATGTTCTATTTTCTATGACAGCGTTTCTGCAAGTAGGTGTATGTTGTGTATGAAACTTTGCCAAAGTAGTTTGATCTAGTTTTTGGAATATACATGAAGTTCTAAAAGAACACACAACAAATCATATCAAAAATCAAGGACAAGGGCAATTTGAATGACAGCTTGAAATGTGACTGACAGCTTTCAAGGTGTTAGCAAAACTAACATCATCAAACAAGTCATAAATTGGGGTTTCATTACCTGGTACATCTACAAGTTTCTTATAGATTGAAAGAAATGCTGCTTCTGATGCTTTGCTTCGCTTAGATAAGGCATCAACCTAAAGGATGAAATTACATATCGTCATTTATTATGACCGTGTTTTTGTTTACAATTTTTCTAGGACTGGGAAACGTTAAAATCAAAATAAATACCTCTCCTTGGAAACTTTTCAATAAAGGAGCGACCTTTTTTCTGAGTTCCTAAAATAATATGGCATTTACAAGAAAGTATGTATTATTCAATAATGCAATTAAAGAATTGTCAAGACTTCCACGTCACCTCACTCCTCAAAATACAAGCATTCCTGTGTTTATTTTAAAAATTAGATACCTCTGACGTATTCTTTTTAAAATCTCTGCTAAGCTCAACAAGTCTTTTCCTCGATGTATCGGATTCATCCTGACGATTGGCAAGCTCTGTAGCAGTTGTGTCAAGAGATTTCTAAACGAAAAAACGATGTAAAGTTAAGAATGCATTGTAAGCTTATAGTTTATAAATATCTACAATAAAATATATCATACCCAGATTACCGTATGGGGAAAACATTGTGCATAAGTACATATTGTTTACTGTTTAMAAACATTGCAAGGTAGGATTTTACCTGAAGCTCGGGAAGGTTGAATTCCTTCCAAAAATTCTTCATCGACTGCAACGAAGCAGCCGCCATCTTGTTTACCAACTATTACCCAGAACCCCCTTAGCAGACRATACGTAATTTTTCCATTTTTTTCTTTTACGRTTTTTYATTGGAGGAAGAACATTTCTWTGGCGYACTGCCATTGGTGCAAATYGTTACTGCATATGGATATTTCGCGGGAAGAACTAAAATCCAACATGGCATCCATCATGGAGAGAAATCACTCAAATTCAGACCCTTTTTCCAGACACCGCAACCAATACAAATGCACGACACCACCATGGAAAGAAACCTACAAAAAGGTATTTTAAACTGCCTCAATACTGATGAAGTTTATGCTAATTAAGAAATCTAATATTCTCTTTTTCAGCGTTGCAAAGAAAGACTTCGGAACGGAAGGCAAAAGTTCCTGGATAGATTCAGAGACATTGCCAGTGACAACAGCCCATCTCCTGTAGGCTCTGAAGTAGAGAAAGTAATGGACGAGGAATGGTCCAGAATTGCTGTAGAAAACGGCCATCTTCCAGCRTGGAAACCAAACAAGGAGTCTTGTCGTCCATTTGCAGGAGTAAGGCGAACTATTAGGGACTATAGCAAAACAAAATGTATTAAAGTGAATCGTTATTTTATTCCAGATTAAGCTTGATGTCAGCGAAGAAGCCGAGCTGAATGAAATAATTGATATCATGGAAGAGATTCAGAAAGAGTTAATTGAAGAAGGTACTCGTTGATTTTTCAAGATAATTAACTAAATGAAAATTCAATTTTTGTTTTATTTTTGTTTTTACACAGAGCAAACCATCCTTCAGCAATATGATGAAAATATGAGATTTGAAGAAGAATCACTTTGTGCAGCAATAGATAAGCTGTCAACTGATGATGTCATATGYCCTGTGTGTAAACGGTATTTATATAGTGTATAATCTTTTGATTAGACATCGTTATACTGGTTGCTCTCATYCCTGAGCAAGAACCATAGACAAACAGTAAATAGAGTATGGGTAAAACTTGCCTCTCAACAACAATTACAAGACAAAAGCTCACATTCTGTCTTCTCTTTTTGCAAAGGATAAGTTGAGCCTAAGTCAAGCTATGAATTATAATTTTTCAAGGATTCYCATTTTTGACAATGTATTTCGGATTAATAAAAGATTTTCCCATGATCCTTCATGGTCTAGTAGGGCAGGAGTGAAACCAAGCAGCATGCCAGTATTTAATCAAAGGACTTTGTGTGTTAGTATAATGTAGCCTGTATTAAGAGGTCACTGATTGAACCTTTCTTTGTTGATAGGAATCCTCTTCATCAGAACAAGCAAGTGATTTTTTGTAAATGTGGAATACGTATTGACACAGAGGTATSATWWTAKWGWRAATATAGCTAACAAAACTGGGTTTGAGTGACTTGACAGCTKTCAGTTGTACATTAGATTAGTGTTAATTAAAGCAAAAAACATTTTAATATTGGTTACTGTTGTTTGTATTGCTATGAGACCAGAGTATACTGCTGTCAATCAACTCAAAGTGCTTYGGTGCCAACTAACAGTTTGCTTGAAATTTTTGATTRACAACACTTTTTTGTAAATATTTCTCTTTTYGTAGGAATAATGACCTCATTTGGAAATCAAAAGGGTCAAATGACTTTATTGGACAATAGTCTTGACCCGTTCTTAATTTGTTAGCTAGCACACTAGATATTGTCTACTGATAAGGAACGTTTGCAGTGCTTAAACATCCCTATTCTATTTCAGTATGATGCCATTGATTTGTCTTATGTAAGAAGTCAAATAGAGGAATCTGTAACTACCCACAGGTATGAATGGTGCTAATTTGTTATCATAACAAAATGATGATGATGATTAGTAAGGATGGTGAAGTTCCTCAGGAACTGACTGACGCAAATTGGTACTGTTAGATGACAAATGGTCCTTCCAACATGTTCCATGTTGGCAAGATAAAAATTTTAGCATCGAGATTGAGGTTCTAAAACTTTGTGACTTTCTTAGAATAATTTAAAGACTTTGAGACACAAAAAATTAAATTGAAGCAGTTATTATGCTCATCAATGTAGTATAAAAAATCTTAGAAATACAAGATTACCTTTTGAAAAAACATTTGAAACAACTTTGTCCCAAACTTGCCTATTCTATTTATTAATTTATCATCTTTATTTATTGTAGAGATGAAGGGTGTTTTCTTGAACYAGAGTTTGAAGTATCAAGAGCAGTTGGTCTTGGAGTCAATAATTTATTATCAAAATGTCAGGTATGAGGTTTKAGAKGATAAATTCATAGAATTTGTTGTCTMTTCAGCAGACAGTTGTGYGACACTAGCTCTATCTACTGTATAACTCCTTCTAAGCACTATAACTTTCCTTTATTTTCTATATCATCCCCTTGATAAATCCTTATCCAACMGATAAAATCACCACAAATGAAAATCTATGGAATCAATAACCCTATCTACCGTCCGTGCAGAATGTTATTTTTGCTGCAGTTTCTTGAGTATTTTGCCCTTTTGTTTCTTTAAGTCTCTGACCATACAAAGGTTTGTTTACATAACTATGAGATATATTGTGCCATAACTATAGTTGTCTTTGTTTACAGGCCTGTGGATTCATGTATATAGTTTTATAAATGATTGACAGCTGTCAATCAAGTTATACTTGGAAATATTAATTATTATTGTTACAGTTTACATCAAATTTCATAGAATGTATACAAATGTAACTAGATTTGTACAAAACCTTTAGGTTTAGTCGTGGGAATATTTCATTTCTTATTGCACATTGTTCTCAGACAATTGTGCTATGTAATTTTGTACATAGTAATAGAGTATATTATTAGATTTATTCTATTGAATTTATTAAAGACATTTAGCCTTACAGAGGTCTTGAAGTCTTTCTTTGTGAATATAGTTTTGGGTATATATGTAAAACCTGCTCTCAATAARTCATTACCATCAATACACACTCTGACTAATGAATCATGTGCTCTGATGTCATTGTGTTACTATCTCATATGTAAGAGTTACATACCGAGAACGGAGGCAATCAGCCTAATACATCCCGAGGGCCGTAGGCCCGAGGGATGTATAGGCTGATTGCCGACGTTCGAGGTATGTAACTGGCTTATTTCATACTTGAAGAAGTTTTCCAAGCACTGCATTAATATTTTCATTTTTAAATAGGCAAAGAAGCTGTTTTCATATGAATTAAAAACCAAACCCTCGATTAGAAAGATTACGAAATTTACAGTATTGAAAATTCCCAACGGGAATAATTTGCATAACCAATTTTCTCGTTAGTCCCATGAGACCAATGCTAACAATACACCTTTTCTAACAATTAACTGGACAATGTTAAATAACTGTTTTATTCCATAACTGACATCGATTAGTCAGTTAGCATAACGTGTTAAGTATAGGATTTTCAAAGCTAAGGTTGTGGGTTCGAATCTACTTGGTGTCATTTGAATTTTTCTTTCTTTCTTTCAAGTTTAAAATTTCAGACGGAAAATTTCTAAGTTGAACGTAGTAGTTAATTAGGTATTCAAGGGCAATATACATTAGTATTCAAGGGCAATATATAGATATATCCCTCAAATGGGGGCAATATCTAGATATATCCCTGAAACTTCGATATAAAGYACTTGAATACACAACGAGCTGGGGAATAAGCGAGATACAACACTATGAATAACAAAGAAAACTGAATCAAGTATGAAATAAATGTTTATTATTGACGCTTGAGAAGAAACATGAATATGGATGGAGTAAATTAAGAAAGAAATCTTCTACTCCATAGKATCTAAAATGGGATGAATATAAGCATCTGTGATCATCCAATCTCACCTCTGGCTGAAAATTGTTTTGTTTTGAGTATTATTWTTATTTTTATTCAAGCTAGGAAAAAGTTGCAACCTCATCTTTACGGTCTTAACAAACATCAGGGGGGAAGGGAAGAGGTTGGAGTAGCTAAAGACAAACCCCTGCCCAGCTCTCCCTTCTCCTCCTTCCCTGCTACTAATTAAAAGACAGTGCAATTGTTATGAAAATATATTTTTATTTCTCTATAACAATAACAGTTCTACATAGGAACTACATGGGAACTAAATGACTTAGTATTATATCAACAATGTATATTCTGCTGTCTGTTAAAAAGAAGAGTATCCTATCTCTTATAGGATCATGGATTATCAAGAGAGATAAGACCTGGAGATTACATCGCCAATCCATTATCCTTGCCTTGAGTACAGCAACAAATATTTGAAAGACTGAGTTTTGAAAACAAGTATGAAATTCAATCCCAAAAGATTCAGGTACTTCGACAAAAGGTGATACCTTTTTCAGTAAAAAATCCTTTTATGAAAAGTACACTAACAATATGCCTTATAGAAACTACCAAAATAATTTAAATAAAAAAATACCTTAAATACACAAATCAATGAATCTATATATTACATATTAAAATTACTAGGTATTTGAGAATTACGCCACATTAAATCCGTGAAATAGTAAAAAAGAGTGATTTCACGGGTTTAAAGCATCTCATTTACTCGAAGCAAAGAGTAAAATCGTGAATGATTTTTTTTCGGATTTTAGAACTTTAACGACCACGTAGGAATTTGGCATTCACGGATATACTTTGCTAACTGACTATGTAAGATATATACAATATGCGAGGTAAAAAAATATCCCTTGTTCCGCTGAATCTAATTCTAGATTCAAAGTATAGAGCCGTGGCGGAATTTACGGCACTTTCCGCTGTGTTAAGTAATAGTTTAAATTAACGTTGTTTTACTTATCGTTGTTTTTAAACATCTGTGATGCGACTTCATTACCTAATTTTGCACAATAAAATATTTTCATAGGAATGTTAATCTTTGAGAGTTAAACAATGTCTTTCTCTCTGTCAAATAAACCTATAAAGGTCCACAGTCCACCAGCATCCCTTTCGAGCTTATGTTTGAAAACGAAAATACATCGTAAYGTAACCAAAAACGTAGTACTCTTTGTTATCCTTTATGCTATGTAATGGATATTGTAAGATTCGACCTTTCGACGGACTTCGAAGTGTTATTTAAAGTCACCTCATGATTTCCGTATTTGAAAAATCTAAAACACGACCACATTTGAATACTGGTGGTCCATGGGCCTTGATGACGACGTATGACTTTATAAAGAGTGGGAAAAAAGCCGACATATTTGGTGAACGCGCCAGTTTTTTAGCCTCGAAAACTAGCACTAGTAAAGACTGGTCCAGTTCATCTTGGTGATGATTTCCTGTCGTTTTAAAAAGATTTTCAAAGGGTAGACTCCCTACTGATTTGTGTCGTAAAGTGTACTGAACCATTGCTGTCGGTTTGGTGGCTTGTTCTAACATCTGCATCACGAGCCACTAAAAAATAATAGCAATAATGACATTATGAATAATACATATATCATCATCTGAATGGATCGAGTGATGTGCAAAAGTGGTTCCAGGGGTTGATTATGCTGGCTAGCCACACCCCATTTCAGGGTTCAAAAAAATAGCCACTCCCCTTTGGGATGTTCTGGATACGCCAACGGGGTGTTTCTTGTACATCTAAGGCAAGAGTAGCGATAAAGATATAAAAGAGAACGAGGAAGATAATTTACTCCAAGTCATGACGAAATTTTCCAGTTCTCGTGACAACTTTAAAGAGTAGGGGCAAATGCAGTTAACTCACCGCTTCCATTAGAATAGCTCATATTCCCAGAGTCTGTCATAGAAGGAGACGTTTTAGAAGGACATCTTTCTTGATTGTATTCAATTGAATGTCTTCTCTTCAATTTGATAATTAAGTGTGTGATGACACACAATAAACCAAACACGACAACCGCTAGGACGATTAACAGCGAAATGTACAATCCCGACTTTGGTTGCGCTAAAAACAACAGAGAAACATTAACTCATAACCATGTTTAAAACTCTAAACAGGGCTCAATAGATCGCTCAGCTTCCTGGATTCGAAAAGGGTGCCTTCATAACAAGCAAGCGCAGTCTAGCTTCGCACTCACGAAGATCTTAAAAATCCCTTTAAACCTCTCGAACATAACGAAAGCAAAATCGAGTAAAGATTGGCCTTGTTACGATTCTAGGTATGGTCTTCAACAAAACGGTATAATTATTGATTAATGGTGATAATTCAGTAGGCTCGCGTAGTATCAAGGTAAGTCCCCATCAATTTGAATAAAGACTTGTTCCAGGGTTAGTCCCTAAAACAGGCAATGGTCAATGACAGACCAACTTACCGGCAGAACCTCGTAGTTTTAAAGCTTCCACATCGACACACTCACAGCTTTCATAATCAAGCCCTTTCATCTTTCTTTGGCATCGATTAATGACTCGTTTTGTGCAAGTACACTCACAAGCGTCTTTATTCCATTCCTGCATCAAACACATGTCATTTAGGTTAACTTTACGACCAATCTACAATCTACATGCTTTGGATGGGTGGCACGGGTGGCCTAGTGGTTAAGCTGCTGGTCTCTCACGCTGTGGTCTGGGTTCGATTCCCGGGCACGGACCATACGTGAGTTTGAGTTTGTTTGATGTGTTGTTCTCTCCCTTGCCACGAGGGTTTTTCTCCGGGTCCTCCGGTTTTCCTCCCTCAGTAAAAATCAACATGTGAGAAGTGTTGTGTGCTAAAATAATTAATATAGAGGTAGTGAGTGTGAGTGTGAGGGACACAAGTTCATCAGTTCTTTACTGTCACGTGTTTACCCTCTTAAAAATAAAGTTGATTTATTTATAAAGTTGATTGATTGATTTATTTATTTTGCATTCTATATTCGAGCAATCTAAGTTCGAGTCCCACCATTTCAAATAGTTAAGTTTCCCTAGCCAGTAAGGGATGGCTGGCTTGGGAGGGGAACAAGAACCTCTTTTTGTGATTAGGAGGCAGGCTGGTCTCTTTTCTGTAACTAACTAGAAGGGCAGACATGCCTTGTATTTTATAGGCGGATATAACCCATGCGTGGACGTTATAAAATTTGTGTCTTGGCAAAGATTCATGTCAGTCCAAGACAATAAGTATACAAGACCAGCAAAAATGAAAATATTCACTCAACTAGAAAGCTCTCGTCAGTATTTAAATCCTGCAAATTATCCTCTTATAAAAACGTTTATTTTGGTTGCTTACTGTATGTGAAACCTGATATCATGCAACAACAATCGTCAATTTTGTAACGGCCCATACGTCATGTCACATCGTAATGTTTTCAGTTTCTACTGTATTGTAAACTAGGTTACTATTTTATTGAGATGACAGGACTGGTCTTCAATAAGCTAGGGTCGGTTACCGTGTGACTTGACTGGAATTAGAAATCACACTCGAAATCCAACACTACCGTATGGTAATCAATAGCGTAGTAAAACTTCTGCTCAAATGAACTTTAACTTGGCGTGTGTCTTTTGGTACCACATGACCGGTTTTTGAGTGAAAATATATATGGATCAGGAATCATTCAAAAATACCGCAAAAAGCTGCTCTCTTAATACAGTATTGTTTTATAGGGTATATTTACCATTCTAGGGATTTCTAGACTAGCAAGATCAATTTCCTACTGTGGTATTTGCATTACAATGCAATCAATAATTACCTTTCTTGGGGGACAAGAAGATGGTGGTCTGTCGCATCTACAACGGCAATCATTGGAATCCCATCTATATTGTACACAATCATTCATAAATTGAGTTAATACATTTGTAAAACTATATCATTCAAAATGCTTGATAAATACTCTTTATGTTCTTTCGTTTCCCTGCTCTACCTAGCTTTTTCCTTTTTTCTTTTTTTTTTTCTTTTTTTTTTTCATTCAAGGAGCCGACGAAAAAACGTAAAATCAGCTGTTACTCGTTTGTTTGCTATGATGGCAAAATCTAGCCTGCGTAGCAGCTCTGGGGGTGTGAGAAAAGACAGAAGGGGAGGGGTTTGGGAAGGAAAAAACAACCCCCCTCCACCTCTCCCAGAGGTGTTGCGCAGGCTACGATTGTAGGTCTAAGACTAGTAATTCAGTCACTAGTCTCTTTTAATAGCCGCTGTTAGAAGAGACTGTTCAGTCACCTGAATCCTGCTTTACATGCCAAGTCTTTGGGAGGTGCTTCTTTATATCTACAATTACAGAGGCATTGATCTTGTTTCCAGTCTTCCCGATCAAATCTACAGTCCATGGGAGACTTTACACAGTCACAGTAGCAGCTTGTGTGATTCTGAATTATCACATGTGTCATTAACGATGTCTTGCGGTCGTACAGGGGGATTTTCACCTCATGCATTGTTTTTGGTTTGCAATTTTGTATACTCGGATGAGCTTTGCAAGAACCACCGCACTGATGAACTTGGATGTGATACGGGTATACATACTCTTTTTCTGAGAACTCTTTGTCGACTTGGAGAACAGTCAGCCTTGGTTTACACATTGCATGCGAGCTATCGAAGCTGTGCGCAATACCTATTCAAATAGGAAAACAAAAATAAAGACAAGGAATTACTATCTAAGTCCGTGTCTGTCTCTGTTTACATTACGGTTGAGTGCCGTGTGATTTGCAAATGTAAATCCAGGGTCGCGTTTATCTCGCGTTCATCAGAAGGGGTCAAAAATCTCAAACAAGATTTAGGTTTGCAATCCATACGTATACGTTAAATATCATTACCATTTAAGGACTGTATGAATCCCAACTCTTAGTGGTTGACKTTTTCTCGATTATCGCTGTCGTTAAGCTATTACCAACCCTGGAACCCTAGGGCAAATATTACACTTCCTATGAAAGATCGAACCATGATTCACGGAACTGTCGACGTCTTTTTCAGGAAGGTCATATTACCGGATATTATGAAATATTCGTACGAAAAGAAAACAGTTTATAAATACATCTTTGGTATTTAATAACTGATGTTGCAGCAATACGGGTCAAATTTTCGATCAATKTTTTAATCTTTGGGTATTTCAGCTGTAACTGTTATAGTTTCAAAAGTTTGATAAAATACGCGAAAAAAGCGATAAAAGTTTCTCTTCGTTTCTCATGGAACTGTCACCATTTYGAGCGAGATTTTCGTGCAGAAAAATGCATTGCAAAAGTACTTTTAGTATTGGAGTTATTAAATTGAAAACACCAGGGGATTGAAGGTCGACCATCCCACGCTTGGGCAAYAGTGTCTTATGACCGGGAAAAGTCTTATGATGAGTCCGTACTACACCACGGGTAAGCCAGCATAGCATAACTTATCTATTCATCGATTTAAAAGCAACCATAAAAAAACAGGAACAAAATCGGAATAGAATTTGTGGTAAAACGTAACCAACACAGAGGATTGTGGCAAAGGCTACAATAACTGGATAGTCCAACAACTTACAATTTACGTAGGCATAGAAGGTCAATACAAAGAGTATTGAACTCAGGACTTTCATGGTGTCTTGTGCTTTCTTCAGTAGCTACCTCAGGATCTTCTAATTTGTTGTTTCTGTAAAATGATTGATATAAGATTGATTTGAATCGTAGAAAGGAGGCTGATTTATGAAGGGTATGTYAAGGGGAGTCCCCAGCTGATAATCCAGCGAYATCCTTACATCGACCGAGCCAACTGCAATGCCATTGGTTAAAAGAGCTACCATATAAGGAATTACTGACAAGYGAATGCTGATTGATTGACAATTTACGTGGTACGAACTTGTAAGATCTACAATTACAGTAAAAAWTTTWWTTTTAAAAAMA